CTTTTATTTTTAATCATGATATTAGAATAGACAAAAATCCGAGGCCTCATTTCGGCCCCGGTTGTATGCCGTCAAAACGCCGCGGCGAGGTCTGTTTCCGCGATCCCTCTCCGCGGCAGGCCAAAACRGTTCCAGTCCTCTGAACGACCGGAAATGACGGTCTCTAATTGTGCTCAGTGCACCCATCCATCYTGCTGTCTTCGGGGGTCACTCTTAAAACCCAGTGCGCCCAGAATCAGGGGTACCCTGAGTTCTCATAATTCCTGCAGCCCGGTCATCCCAAAACACTTGTCAAAACGCGAACTTAACCCTGAGCCTAAACCCCTAAACTGCCGTTTTCAGGCGGCGCACTACTTGTGGCCGCCTGACAATGGAACGAATCCTCTGATCCAAATACTCATCAGCCCTCTGTGACGTTTCAACCTCCGCCTTGCCTGGGGTTGTCAACCCTTCGCCATGACGAGCAAGAAACTCTCCCCACATCTCCCGGAGCCCATATGGTTTATAGGGCGGTGGCGGACTTGGGAGTACCCCTGCTGCGTCCAATCTTTGCCCCTCCTGCCGGATTTCCTCCCAGCGTCTTGCCACTCTAGCCCGCTTCTCCTTAGCCGTTTCTTTCGCTGGTACTTCCTTTACCGTGCGTTGTTCGACTTCCCCCGAGATCCCCGTTTCCACCTCTCTCTCGGCCTGACCTGGTTCCCGGAGTGACTCCATAGGTATGACCTCTTCCAGACTAGGTTGCTCCAGAGCGTGGGCGGCCAGATGGCTATCAATCAGACTGTCYGCCTCCCTTCTCAGACTGGCCCCCTCTGCCTCACTTGCCTCCATTCCTGTCGGCGATAGGGCTGTCTCCGRCACTGAGATTGGGACTTCCTCCCTTTGTACTTTCTTYCTCGTATCTAGCGGGCTCTCGAGTGGACTATCGAGCCTCAGCCCCACGGCTGGTCCCTGGGGGGGAGTGTCTTCCTCAACTTCTATGATCTCCTCCCCAATCCAGTCTTTCGTAGCGCTCGGCCCCTCCTCTTGTTCAGGGTCTGGAACCTTTTTCTTGTGGTACTTCCGCGATGACCTCAATGCGCCCCTCACTCATCGGCGGCTCTCTCCACTGGGCAGCGTCCAGATGTGCCTCTAACTCTTGCAATGACTCTTCATCGACTGGTATCTCTTCCTGTATATATTGTGGCGCTTCCCCCAGTCCTCCTCCAGTATAGCGGTGGAACTCTACTGGCCCCAGTCCACCCTCGGGGTGCTCCTCCTGTCGTTCTGCCTCAGGCATGCCCTCCTCTTCCCGCCTAGCAAGCGCCTTCCGTCCTCTCCACGAGGTTCGGTCCTCAGCGGGCTCAGGTTCCCTCTACCTCCCGCTCTTGAGGCGCCTTTCGACTCTAGGCCGAGGTGGTTCTGGCTGCCGGAATGCCTCCCTCAAGTGCGCTCTATAACCATCCCAATCTCGGGCCATATCCTTGATCTGTCTGGCCAAAGGTCTTTTCGCCTTTCGGGTCCACAGGGGTAACGTGATCATCCACTCGCTTCGCAGTATCGCCTGGTCCTGCATGAATTGCTCGAATGCTGGGATGAAGTCATCTGCATTCCCAATCTTCAGTCGAATAGGCCTGCCATCAGGCCCCACAGACGATGGTCGTAGTTCCTGCATCCGCGCCTCCACTTCCGACCTCGTTTGAGCCCCCCTGCGAATCTGTGCAATGGGCTCAATAAACCTGCCAACTCCCCTCAACCTCTCGATCGTCTGAGTGACGATCCACCCCATATGGTCAGCGTGGCCCCAGAACTCGTCCATGAATAACTCGATATCCCCATCGTTATATACTGGAGTCCTTGCCCGACGATAAGGCTCATGCCGTCCATGTCCTCCTAATGCTCCCGCTGGCCGTCGTGGTGGTCGTGTCCCCCTCCCTCCTCTTGGCATGGCTGCAAGTCAGTTCTGCACAACAGGCGAAGGAGACAACAGGCACGCGCCGGGGTAAGCAAGCAGGCGACGAAGAGACACACTCAGGCCAAACCAAGCACATGCCCCCAAGCAATCCTTCTAACCTACAAACCCATCTATTCCATTCTAAGGGGACTGGGTTGCCTATCTCACCTCTTCTCTGGCCACGAATTTCTTCAACCTCGTCCCTGACACCCATTCTTTCCACTCTGTTCCATTAAGCTCCTCGATCTGGTATGCGTCAAACTCTCCACATCGCACGATCCGATAGGAAACCAACCAGCTCTTGTCCAGTTTCCTGGACCATTGTTTTTCCAGGGATGAATCATACAAGAGCACGACGTCCCCAACTACCAAGGGTGCCTTTCTTACAAGAGTCGACTGGTCCCAGCGAGCCTGATCGTCCATACGGCTCCTCTCTACCTGGTCGGATGCCGCTTGGACCCTTTCCTCAATCGCGCCCACCTGCCGAGCTCGAATATCGAGCAATTCTTCGAAAGACAGATTTACCTCCAAGTCCTGACGCCTTCAAGTCTTTAGGAAGCTCTCGATTGGGAAGGTAGCATGTCTTCCATACCACAGTGTGGCCGGCGCGTACTTAGTGGTCCTTTTCACTGTGATGTTCTCAACGAAGAAGGCGGCCCTCAGATACCTCGGTCACTGGCTGGGCTTACCTTCGGTCCATTTCGCTAGTAGAGCCGTAATGGTACTATGACCTCTTTCCACCGGAGCATTTGCCTGTGGGTGGGCGGCCGTGGTGTAGTTAGCCACTACCCCATATCTAGACAGCAGCTCTTGCACCTCCTGACAGGTGAACTCCGACCCCCTGTCCATTACGAATTCCCTAACGAACGGGTATCATAGGTAATACTCCTCGATGCAGCTGACCAGAACTGGCCTAGTCTTCGTACGGATTGCCCGTCCTTCTACGAAGCCAGATAGGTTGTCGCGCGCATCGAAGATATAGTTGTAGCCATGATCTCCAAGGGGCATGAACAACAAGTCGAGGTGTACTACGGCCCCGACCTCTCTCTCCAGCCTTGGATGTAGTGACTCTCCTGGCCTTAGAAGAGACTGCTCCTGGCACGGCACACAGGAACGACAAAATTTCCCAACCATCTCCATCATCCCGTCCCAGTAGTATAGCTCACTTATTTTGGCATATGTGGCAGTAATTCCCCGGTGTCCGCCTGCAATGTCATCATGAAGCACTGCTATGACGTCGATCTGATAGTTGCGACCACATACCACCCGCGTGGGGTTTCCTACTTTCCTTCTTACGAAGAGATGACCGTCCCTTACTAGGTAGCGATCCCTCATCATCTGCGCCCTATGACTTGCGTCTCTATCACGCATCTCGCAGGATAAGAGAAGTCCCAGCTCTAGGTAAATCCCTTCATACTCCTCTGCGCGGAATGCCTCCTTGATCTCTCCCTCTTCAAACTCGTCATCCTGGCTCTCCAACACAGTATCTCTTCCTTCGGCCGGATTCAGTGAGCTTTCCAAATCAAGGGACTCATGCAGAAGCGCATTAACGAGGAGGTACATCCCTCCCATTAATTCCTCGTGGTGTTTCATCTTATCCGGACCCATCTCTATCGTCAGTACCTCATCCATCATACAATGGCTACCTGTGAGTGCCAACTTGGTCATCCATTGGACGTCCTTACCACCCGAGGGATCCTCCTCTTCGAAAGGCTTGAGCACCAACTCAGCTTTCTGCTCATACCCCTTAGGCGCGTGCCAGATAGGATGGCCAACGCAGCTGGGGACTTGTTGGGACCACTTATTGATGTGGAGGCGGATGTCCTCGTCCTGGTCCAGAAAGCCATCAACAGGGGGCGTATGCTCTACAGCTTCCCCGTCCTGCCTATCCCAGTTGATGCGACTTAGCCCATCTGCCCTCTTCTTGTTCCCTGGGATCCGTTCCAACTCGAAGTTGAACATCCAGATGTATGTCAACCACCTGGCAACTGTTGGATCGGACGGAACATAATTCCTCAGGGAGAAAGCCAGAGCCGTTGGGTCTACCCTCAAGATGAACCTCCTACCAAAGATGTAGTTTCGAAAAAGCCGCAGACAATGAAGGACGGCGAGAGTTTCCCTCTTGAATTGGGAGTAGTTTCTCTCTAACGTACATAGCGTGCGACTCTCAAAGCGCAACGGCTTCTCCTTCCCCTTGATGTCTGCTTGGATTAGAACTCCACCCAAGGCCGTCGGTCCTGCATCAGTTTCCAAAATTAATGGTCTCGTCTCCGCAGCGTCATAATCGGGCGCTCCCAGCACCAATCCTCCTTCCCGGAACTCCTCTTTCATATTAGCCACAACCTCTTCCTAATCCTCACCCCAGGTCCACTCCTGATCCTGCCGGACCAGCTTCCTTAATTGCTCTGTCTTTGCCGCAAAGTTCTTGACGAAGGACCTCTTGAACCCACACGATCTAGGAAGCTCCTTACATCTGTTATAGAACGGAATGGCACCGGCCACTCAACTATCTTATCCGTGTTCTTAACATCCGGCCGCCGACCGTTCTCATTATAGACGAACCCCAAGATAGTCGCTTCCCTCATACAGTGCTTAGACTTAGGCCCACCGGCCGTAAGGTTGTACTCCTCAAGCAAGCCCAAGACTTTATCAAGGTCCTGAACGTGTCTCCAGACAAACCGCCTTACTCCAGGCAGAACCTCATCGTCTTCCCTTTTTCGCGGCCCTTTCACTGTCAGGTCATCGATGTATGGCTGCGTGATGTGCGGACTAACTGTCTGCATGACCCGGATCATATTCCTCTGGACCATTGCCACCGCATTCGACCACCCTTGCGGAGCCACATTCATGTGGATAAGCCCTCGAGGCGTGTGCATAGCTGTCACTGGTCGGTCCGGCAGGTAGACCGAAAATTGGTCATATCCGGAATAGAGGTCAATAAGTGAAATTATCGGTCTCCCAACGCACGATTCCGACAACGCATCAGCATTTGGTAGCCCACCTGCATCCCGCACTGTCACCGCATTCAGTCTCTGCAAGTCCTGTACCCACCTTAGTGTCGCATTGGGCTTAATAAAACAAAACCACGGAGATGCGTAGGGTCCGCTCGAGTAGTCGGCGACGTGCGTACGTATTTTTCCATCGAGGTAGTCCACTACCTTCTTCTCTTCGTCCGGATTCGGGTATCGCGCCCCTCTTAGATTCCATGGCTCGTGCGGCACGGTATGGATGCGGATCATTGGAATCTTGTCCACATCCAACCTGCCAYGCTCCTCGTCGCTGAACGCATAGGTGCGATGTCTTTTCTTCATCAGCTCCACCATCAGGGCTCTTTCCCGCGGCAGTAGGAAGTCCGGTTCTCCCACTATCAACTTCCCTTAATTTTCCTCATTGACACGGCATGGCCCTTCTGACGCATTTTCCCTCATCCGCCGTATCAACGCTCGCTCCCGTTCGTAGTACACCTCCTCGTCCTCGGTAACCAGAACGGGAACTGGGCGACACTTTTTGTCTATCGTTTTGTACCGACTTTGGACACCCTGCTTGAGCCGGCCCCTAAAAAAGGCTGACTTGGCACTCGTGCCTGTGCCTGTGCCACTGCCGGATTCATTCCCCCCTTGGGAAGCCGGTAAACCAGCTCCATTTCCCCTACCTGGGGATACTCCAGAACCTGCTCCCTCAACGCCTGAATGGCATCCGGATCGGCCATCTCGTGCGTGGCCACTATATCCATGGCCTTTCCCACATCCGACAGGCTGAGCGAGAAGGCTTCACCTTCTACTTCGTCCTCGGGCTCTGCCATAAGCCTCCGATGCGCGTCTTCTGACTCCTCAATCGTGAAGGAGCAAGGGTTGGGCCTGTTCCTGAGGCTCCTTGACCCAGTATTCCGGCAGGTAATCACTTCGTAATTCCCGCATGCTGGATCACATAGAATCAGGATCAATGACCCATCATGCTTATTATATATCAAAGTCTTCGTCCTGCATAGGAAGGACCTCCCCAGGAGGATTCTGTGGTCCACATTAGGCATCACAAAGAAACAGGCCCGCGCTTTCACCCTCCCAATCTCCAGTAGCACATTCGAGGCTGTTCCACAGAACACTGCCTTGTTGTTGGCCCCGTGCAGGATGCCACAATCTGAACGGTCTACCTGATGGCGTCGGCCTCTCGAATGATATTCATCTCCGTGTCGGTATCCACCATGGCTGTGCATTTGGAGCCCTTTACCGCTAGGTCCACCACGCCACAAGCTACACACTTCCAATCCATTTTTGTCCCTGGCTCTGCCCATTCCATCTCCTTGGGCAGGATCACGCAGAGGTGAACATTTGGTATCAATCGTCTTGACAGTCTGCCCTTCAACTCATTGCGGAGCCTGGACGCAGACGCTAGGATCTCTTTCAGGGTCATTAAATCATTATGGCCCTCAAGCAGCCTGCCAATTACTCGCTCTACATCAAATCCTTCCTCTAGCCGGACCGCATACTTCTTCCTCTTTGGCGGTACGTCTCGCATAACCGGTTCGGCCTCTCCCCGACTTTCTCTTTTCTTGGCTCGCTGTTCGGCCCTTTGATCTTCTTCCTAACGTAACCGGTCATCTTCCCCTTCATCATCATCATCATCCTCTACCTCTACTGTTTCCTTCCTCTTTTCTGGTTTTGGTTCCTTCCAACGAGGTCCTTGACTCGCACCTGCCTTGGCTTGACTTCGAGTGCGGGCCGCCTGAGCCAGCCTAGCTTGCGGGGTAGGGGGCCTAGTCATCATCCCTGACCGCGGGCCCGTCCCCACAGTGGTCACTCCGGGCCGCCCCGGCATGGATTCCAGACCAGAGTCATAAAGGAAGACCTTGGGGAGGTTAGCCCTCCATTCCTTTACTCCCTCGCAGAGGTCTACCAACTTCCATTGGTATCTCCCTACCTTGTCCAATAAGTCCTCTATCTTATTCAGCAGGATTACCGCTGGCTCTACCTTTTCATCGTCACCCTCATCGTCCGACTCGATGATATTGGGTGTCTCTCTTACATCCCCGGCCTGTAGCCTCTGGGTTACTTCCTCGTCGCTTCCTACTTCCTCAACTCCAATTGGCAGCTCTTCCTTCTCCTTCCATAGCCTGAACGTGGCAGGGGGTGGTTGTCGTGCTGCCAACCTTCGTTGGGCCTCCGGCCTAACTCCACCAGCCTTCCTATCAATAAAATCTTCGAATTGGTCGTAAATGTCCCCATCCATATTAGAATAAATCAGTCCATTTTTCTCGTCCTCTCTCCGTATGTTGCAAAACCTAATAGTGTGACCTTGCTGCTCACAGTGTTGGCATATAGCACTTCTCCAATCAAAACGGGCCCTTCCACCACCTTGATTCCCTTGGTTGTCTTGGCCGCCTTGATTGCCTTGGTCACCTTGGTTGCCCCATTGGCCTCCTAGGCCGCCTTGACTGCCCCATTGGCCTCCTCGGCCACCGCCATTCCTGCCACGTCCTCGTCCACCGCCCCTTCCTCCATTCCCCTGGTTCCCTTGGCCTTGACTACCAGYACCCGCCACACTGCCTTGTGAACTTTGTGTGGGCRTTGGCGTCGGTGGTACCGCTRRCTGAGTTTGGGCGGCGGGGTAGCTCGGAGGTGGCATACTTGTCTGGGGCCCAGCATAGGGTATTACCTGTCCAGAYGRCGCTGGGCCACCCCAGGGTRCATAGGTATTAACTAGGGGCCAYGGCCARTGCCCAAATGGTGGCACTGGTGCTTGCGACGGGYCCGCACTACTTGACGGCCCGGACGAGCTCRGAGATGCCGCTACCACTACTTGAGGCGCCTGGCCCTTTCCTGACCCTTGTSCGCCTTGTGCTAGATTGCGYTGCTTACGYTGCGCCTTCGTAAGGTGTGGAKGTACCGGCTCCTCCTCTTCCCATCCCTCCTKGGTAGCCTCCTCTAACACGGCCCCCTTGCCTTTTTCCCGGACTGCCGCCGTCACCTTCYGCTGTATCACCGGGTCTAGCCCTGCTAATATGTCGRTTATGATCTTCTTTACTCCTKGCGACCCAGCCGCATCCCTGTCCTTCCGTTTCTGCCTCTGTAGCCTCWCCTGGTGCTGCTCGACCTGGTCGAGGCCTCCAACCTCCRCCCCTCTGTCAATGGTGGCCCARGTAAGTTTGGCATTTCCTCCCCCATGGCTTGTTAGCTCAACTGTCTCAGATGCGGTGAGCAGTCCCAGGAAGACGGCGCACTACGCCTCCTCTGATATCCCATGTACCTTTCTCGCCTTCTTTTTGAATTCTTGCAGGAATTCCCCAATGGTGGTGAAGTCGTCCCTATTCATTGCCTCTAGGTCCGCCATAGTCAGCAGACCATCCCCCAACCTATACTTCCGCTGCATTCCTTCCTTAAATTTAGCCCAGTCGCCGTTGGCGTCGTCGACCACCTTCTGTACTTCCGGATGGTGCTTATGGAGCACATACTGCAGGATGCGTTTGAATTTCGTCTCGTCTGGTACTCCCACCAAGGCTTGCTCCACTAGGTCCAGCCATTCAGAGACCCGTTCCCCATTGAAGTGGAAGGTGTYGACTTTGGGGWYACTCCTCGGCGTTCTCTCCCRCTTGTMYATCGCCTCGATGAKATCATCGAGGGTCAGGACCTTGCCTGAACTGTCGCCTATGCCGCCTGTCATTTTAGCAGCCTGTCCTTCACTTAACTTCCCTGTAGCAAAACGAGGTACACAGGCAACTTTATTCAGCACTCTCACTCCTGCATAAGCCTATCAAGCTAACCACTTAGCCCTTGGGCGTTTCAGACTTTAACTGACACCCACGTCCTTTTCGTTCCCAGACCTACATTCACAAGGTCTACCTAAGCTGTGAGTTTCTCCACATAGTTACTTTAGTCATTCAATCTCTCCTATAGCCCTACTTATAGACTCACTTCAAATCTCYCACTCATGYMTGATTTCTTCCTTGTCCTAATACCCRGATGTCRTTCCACCAGGGACAACGGCAGGCAACCGTCATCCCCGACAACGGCGCCACCTGTTGTGCGCATCAGTCTGGCACCACTCATAGGTAGCACGGGACCCTCCCGGCCGCGTCACGCAGGAGTCAGAGTACACATCCTCATTGTGATATATACGTGGAGCTTCCGTAAGCCTCTCCGACCGGGTGCGCCAGCCATACCTCTCGCGAGCCCCTACGACAGGATAGGGCCTACGCGAGGCACGACTACCTCCACCTTACGGGAGTTGTCACCTCCCTTCGGTGGGCGTATTCCCCCCGAGCTACCAGTCCACAGTACGAAAGCTGATCAGCTGCAATCGCAGAGGTGGACCAGCGGAGGGCGTTTCTCGTTCACTGTAGCATAGGGGGTACGCGCGGTACTA